CTCTTACAACCCCATCTATAAATATATTAAACAACCACGGTGACATCACACATCCTTGTCTAAGGCCTACTTTTACTGGGAAAAAATTTCCCTCTTTTCTACATACTCTAACTTGAGCCTCACTATCCTCGTAAAAACTCTTCACTGCTTTCAGTAACCTACCTCCTACACCATACACTTGCAACATCTGCCACATTGCCCCCCTATCCACCCTGTCATATGTCTTTCCCAAATCCATAAATGCCACAAAGACCTCTTTAACCTTATCTAAATACTGTTCACTTATATGTTTCACTGTAAACACCCGGTCCACACACCCCCTACCTTTCCTAAAGCCTCCTTGTTCATCTGCTATCCTATTCTCCGTCTTACTCTTAATTCTTTCAATTATAACTCTACCATACACTTTACCAGGTACACTCAACAGACTTATCCCCCTATAATTTTTGCACTCTCTTTTATCCCCTTTGCCTTTATACAAAGGAACTATGCATGCTCTCTGCCAATCCCTAAGTACCTTACCCTCTTCCATACATTTATTAAATAATTGCACCAACCACTCCAAAACTATATCCCCACCTGCTTTTAACATTTCTATCTTTATCCCATCAATCCCGGCTGCCTTACCCCTTTCATTTTACCTACTGCCTCACGAACTTCCCCCACACTCACAACTGGCTCTTCCTTACTCCTACAAGATGTTATTCCTCCTTGCCCTATACACGAAATCACAGCTTCCCTATCTTCATCAACATTTAACAATTCCTCAAATATTCCCTCCATCTTCCCAATACCTCTAACTCTCCATTTAATAACTCTCCTCTCCTATTTTTAACTGACAAATCCATTTGTTCTCTAGGCTTCCTTAACTTGTTAATCTCACTCCAAAACTTTTTCTTATTTTCAACAAAATTTGTTGATAACAGCTCACCCACTCTCTCATTTGCTCTCTTTTTACATTGCTTCACCACTCTCTTAACCTCTCTCTTTTTCTCCATATACTCTTCCCTCCTTGCATCACTTCTACTTTGTAAAAACTTCTCATATGCTAACTTTTTCTCCCTTACTACTCTCTTTACATCATCATTCCACCAATCGCTCCTCTTCCCTCCTGCACCCACTTTCCTGTAACCACAAACTTCTGCTGAACACTCTAACACTACATTTTTAAACCTACCCCATTCCTCTTCGACCCCATTGCCTATGCTCTCATTAGCCCATCTATCCTCCAATAGCTGTTTATATCTTACCCTAACTGCCTCCTCTTTTAGTTTATAAACCTTCACCTCTCTCTTCCCTGATGCTTCTATTCTCCTTGTATCCCATCTACCTTTTACTCTCAGTGTAGCTACAACTAGAAAGTGATCTGATATATCTGTGGCCCCTCGATAAACATGTACATCCTGAAGTCTACTCAACAGTCTTTTATCTACCAATACATAATCCAACAAACTACTGTCATTTCGCCCTACATCATATCGTGTATACTTATTTATCCTCTTTTTCTTAAAATATGTATTACCTATAACTAAACCCCTTTCTATACAAAGTTCAATCAAAGGGCTCCCATTATCATTTACACCTGGCACCCCAAACTTACCTACCACACCCTCTCTAAAAGTTTCTCCTACTTTGGCATTCAGGTCCCCTACCACAATTACTCTCTCACTTGGTTCAAAGGCTCCTATACATTCACTTAACATCTCCCAAAATCTCTCTCTCTCCTCTGCATTCCTCTCTTCTCCAGGTGCATACACGCTTATTATGACCCACTTCTCGCATCCAACCTTTACTTTAATCCACATAATTCTCGAATTTACACATTCATATTCTCTTTTCTCCTTCCATAACTGATCATTTAACATTACTGCTACCCCTTCCTTTGCTCTAACTCTCTCAGATACTCCAGATTTAATCCCATTTATTTCCCCCCACTGAAACTCTCCTACCCCCTTCAGCTTTGTTTCGCTTAGAGCCAGGACATCCAACTTCTTTTCATTCATAACATCAGCAATCATCTGTTTCTTGTCATCCGCACTACATCCACGCACATTTAAACAACCCAGTTTTATAAAGTTTTTCTTCTTCTCTTTTTTAGTAAATGTATACAGGAGAAGGGGTTACTAGCCCATTGCTCCCGGCATTTTAGTCGCCTCATACGACACGCATGGCTTACGGAGGAAAGATTCTTTTCCACTTCCCCATGGACAATAGAAGAAATAAAAAAGAACAAGAGCTATTTAGAATAAGGAGAAAAACCTAGATGTATGTATATATATATATGCATGTGCGTGTCTGTGAAGTGTGACCAAAGTGTAAGTAGGAGTAGCAAGATATCCCTGTTATCTAGCGTGTTTATGAGACAGAAAAAGAAAACCAGCAATCCTACCATCATGCAAAACAGTTACAGGTTTTTGTTTCACAGTCATCTGGCAGGACGGTAGTACTTCCCTGGGTGGTTGCTGTCTACCAACCTACTACCTCTAATACAACAATATAATATAATACAACAATAATAATATTATAATATGCATAATAATAATACATATATAATAATAATGTACTACATATAATAATTATAATAGACAGCTTCTAAAGGTCACCACTAGATGGCAGTGTTTACCACAACAAAGAGGGAGTGGTTGTGGCCGCCTCCACCTGTTACATAATGACATTTCATTCATGCTAGAGTATATATCATGTTTCTATGTTATTTACATTTTTTGTTATGTCATATTAGATGAACTGTGATAGATAAATAAGCCATATAGATGATATTAGCAAAATTATTCATGAAGTATTTTGCTTGGTCTCCAAGCAAACTCATCCACCGCCGACACCGCCCATACCACTACATGAATGACATTTTATTCATTCTAGAGTATATATCAGGCTTCTATGTTACTTATATTGTTTATTATGTCATATTAGATGAAGCGAGATAGATAAATAAGCCATAGAGTTGATATTAGCGAAATTATTGAAGTACAGAATTCCACTGGAATGTATTAATTACATTTCAATTAATTTAAATGAGGAAAATTGACTGCAAATGAGCAAATCCAGTTGCGAGCAAGGTCATGGAAAGGATTAAACTCGCAAGTAGAGGTTCTACTCTATAGTTATACCAATGCTCTTATATGGGAGTGAAGCATGGGTGATGAATGTTGCAACGAGGAGAAAGCTGGAGGCAGCGGAGATGGTGTGTCCAAGGTAATAGTTGTGGAACTGCATATGATGCATTTATACAGGTATTGTACAGGGTTACATCAACCCTCTCCACATATGTCTAGATAAAGAAGCAATGACAACAATAATGAAAGGAATGGAAAATTTATATTTTTGGCATTTTGGGGGATATCATCAATGTAACCCTATTTTTTCTTTAATTCATTTAACACAATTTTTTTTATTTACAAGACATTTTCAGAAACGTAACTACCAAGTTAACAGATAGTGTGAATATAATGCAGAGAATCTATAGCATGGAGAGTAGGTGGTGGTGTGGGATTTCTAAAAGATGTAATAGCTGTGTCATTTCAGCAGAGCCTTCAACACTGGAGGGATGTGGGTGGCCTTACTGTTATGTACAAGGCCAATATTGTCCAAGTACCACACTTGGCTCCACTCCAAGAACAGCGAGAAGCGAGCTTCTACACAACAAGACAGTCAGCAAACAGGAACTTCACTCTGACTGTACCCTTCTCCAGGACATCACTACACCTGAGATCATTTATTCCCAGGATGACTCAAGCCTGGAACACATACGTACAACATAATAATATCAACGAAATAAATCAGTTGATCAAACGAAATTGCTGGCCCACAGACGGCTCCAACTTCATCCAGTTCTCTACTTTTATGTCTCATAATAATAAAAGGCTCTTAAATGAGCTGATGTAAGTAACAGCTCTTAGCTTGTATATAAAGTTAGGGACCTTAACCTAACCTTGTCAAACCCTGTGTCTTAGGAAAGGTTAGAGGGAGGGGATAAAGGAGGTTTTGTGTGTGAGGGGCTTAGACCTCCAGCAAGCATGGGTGAATGTGTTAGATAAGAGTGGGGGCAAATGGTTTTTATGACCTGACACAGTGAGTGTGAGCAAGGTAACATTTATGAAGGGATTCAGGGAAACCAGTTTGCCAGACTTAGGTCCTGGAGGTGGGAAGTATAGTGCCTGCACTCTGAAAAAGGGGTAGAGATATGCTGCAGTTTCTGAACTGTAGTTTCAATACGCCTCTTCCAAAACAGTGATGGTGAGTGATGAAAGTGTTTCTTCTTTTTGGGTCACCATGCCTCAGTGGTAAAAAGCAGATGTGTTAAAAGAAAAATTATTCCAGGTATATTTATTTAGTAAAAAACTGTATAATATTGGCCTTAAGCCAATATTATACAGTATTTTTACTGATTTTGGCAGGTGATTGTGAATGTGGTGGTGGTAGCAGGTAATAGTTGTGGAACTGCATATGATGCATTTATACAGGTATTGTACAGGGTTACATCAACCCTCTCCACATATGTCTAGATCAAGAAGCAATGACAACAATAATGAAAGGAATGGAAAATTTCTATTTTTGGCATTTTGGGGGATTTCATCAATGTAACCCTATTTTTTTTTCTTTAGTTCATTTAACACAATTTTTTATTTACAAGACATTTTCAGAAACATAACTACGAAGTTAACAGATAGTCTAATGTACTATCATATCAAATTAAAATGACCAGCATTAAAGACTCCATTAAATTGTGAAAAAATTCCTCTCAAAGTTCTCCAAGGTTCTTACAGACACCTCCATAACTATAATAACCATGATGAAGGCATAAAGATTAATTTACTTATAGGCACAAGCCAGTTAATCATAACATCTCTGGTATAAACCTACGAAAGTCACTTTAGAAAGACCCACTCTTCCATCATTATTGTACTTTACCACTTTCAATTATTTAATGATGATAGCAGCAGTTTTCCCTATAAAGTCTGTTTTTGTAAAAGTGTACTTACCTTCATTTCTCCATGTTTATCTCCAGGTATTGTATCCATGACAACAAAGTCTATGGGTGTTTCAGATGAGCGTCCTATTTGGAACATGTCTGTTTCAGTGTCAAGTTGATACTCAACAATGACTGCTTGGTTCCTTGAAAGTGTGTATGATATACTGTGTTGCTGAGCATCTAGGATAGCCTGAAAAAATAAAAATTACTCTTTACAACACACACATTTTAGCTAAATTTTAAAAAACCATACCTAAGTAAAAGGGTGCTTAAAAATATGTTTTAGAATTCAATACTTTGGTAAAACAAATGCTCATATTACATAAAAATACAGCAGAACCCCAGATTTTGGCTGTAATCCATTTCAGAAAGTCGACCTAAATCCAAAAAGGCCGAAAACTGAAGTAATATTTCCCTTAGGATTTCATGTAAATACAATTTTGTAATCAGTTCCAGACACCCAAAAATATTGGCAAAAAATACATTTTTTGAAGATTAACTATAGTTTTACACACATAAAACAACGAGAAATAAATATAAAGCACAGATTTTAATAAGTGAACATTACATACCTTTATTGACAACTATCGTTGGTGTATTGAAGAAGGCGAGGAGGGAAGAGGGAGTTGGGGTTATTGTTTGGAAGGGGAATCCCCCTCCATAAGGACTTCAGGTATCGAAGCCCTCTCTGGGGTTACTTCCCTTCTTTGTTTCTCACTGGCATTAGGACCAGCTTGAGAGTCACTGGAACCCTGTCACACAAAAAAACTGTCCAGAGAGCTCTGTTTCAGATTTGCCTGAAGTAGGACAAGGTTTTGTCACTGAACATGTTGCAGATATGGCTTGTTTGAGCTTGGTCAGGGTAATATTTCTCCACAAAAGTTTGCAACTCACTCCACTTTGCACACATGTCCTAAATCACTGAAGAAGGCACATTCTCCCACCTCTCTTCCTCCTCCTCCTCTAAAGCAATGTGCTCAACTGTGGTCTGTTGCTGTTGCAGATGAAGTTCTTGCAGCTCTTCAGTGGTTAGCTCTTCCCTGTGGTCCTCCACCAACTTTTCCACATCCTGGCCACTCACATCCATGGACTTCCCCAAAGCAACAATAGATTCCACAACAGGCAGAGGGTTGACAGGGTCAGCCTCAAACCTTCAAAATCTTTCTCTTGGACACATTCTGGCCACAATTTTCTCCAAGCAGAGTTCAAAGTCCTGGAAGTCACTCCCGGCCAAGCCTTACCTACAAGGCTTATGCAATGGAGGATAGTGAAGTGATTCCCCCCAGAACTCTCTTAGGGTCAAGTCAGTGTCCAAGGTCACTCCAAAGCACCTTTGAAACACTGCTTTCATGTAGAGTTTTTGTAGTAATGACCTGCTGCTCCATGAGCTGGATAAGAGGAGTGGTGTTAGGAGGCAAGAACTTCGCTGTTATAAACTTAACTCCATAGTCAATTGGTCTACCAAGTTTGGAGGATGAGAAGGAGCACTGTCCAGCACCAGGAGGCACTTGAGTGGCAATTTACACCTACCATCAGACTTAGGACTGAGCTTGGTTCTGACTAACTGGTCCTAAGTCAAAATGGACATAAATCGAACCTTACTACTGAATATCAGTATCACATTAAGTAATGATTATTTTATTTTATTTTATTTTGCTATTTCATTTTTTACTTTACTTTTTTATGCTGTTAGTACTGTATTTTATACTGTGAGATTAGGAGAAACACTGTAAAATTCAAACAGTTGTTTATTTCCCAGCACATTTGCATACAAAACATGGTCGTAACTCGAGTGGTTGCATGTCGAGCAGGTCGTAAGTCGGATGGTAGGTGTATTTTCCTAGAGGTATTTTTTTCACACTCGGGCCAAACACTTCATGGACCCAGTCAATGAAAATTTGCCTTGTGACCCATGCTTTATTATTAGCTTTCCACAACACACAAGTTACTCTTGATAACATTGTTTTTCTTGAACACTGGGATTTTCAGAGTGATACACCAGTAAAGGTTTCACTTTGAAATCCCCACTAGCATTACCACAGAACAAAAGAGTAAGCCTATCCTTCATAAGCTTGTGTCCTGGAAGTGCCTTTTCCTTGTGCATGATGTTGGTCCTCTTTGGCATTTTCTTCCAAAAGAGGCCTGTTTTGTCACAGTTGAACACTTGTTGGGGGAGGAATCCTTCAGCCTCTACGTACTCCTTGAATTCATGCACGAATTCTTCTGTCTGAACTTGCAGCCTGACCATGCCTTACAACACTGTGTATGCCATTACACTTCTTGAATCTGTTGAACTAGCCTCTGCTGGCCTTATATTCACTAACAGCAGCACTCATTCCAGGCATTTTCTTTACGAGATCCGCACGCAACTGCCTTGCCTTTTCACAAATGATCGACTCCACAACACTATCTCCCGCTAACTGTTTATCATTGATCCACACCAACAATAACTTCTCCACATCTTCGATTATTGATGATTTTTGTTTCGTTAGCATATTTACCCCATTCGCAACATTAGCTTCCTTGATTTCTATTTTCTTTACCAGGATGGGAGTGATTGTTGATTTGGATTTCCCATAAATCCTAGCAAGCTGGAGCAAACGTACACCACTTTCATACTTTGCTACAATTTCTTTCTTGAATTCTATCGTGTTTCTCACTTTCTTTACCAAAGGGCTGGCACTAGGAACTTTGTTTGGGCCCATGGTGGCTTATTTCACAGCTGCACTCAATAAACAACCACAAAAAAACAATGGATTATAACGAAATGTTTGGATGAATGCGTGGAATGTTGCTCAATCATCCAGAGACACAGCCAGACTGACTCACGAATGTAGTGGAGTGGCGGACGGATGCGTCTAATACGGCCAATTTCCAAGTTACCAGCCGAAATCCAGGACAGAATTTCAGCCAAAAAAGCGGCCAAAATCTGATCTGGCCGATATGTGCATCTGCTGATATCTGGGGTTCCATAGCATTTTTATCCATTTTTTCAATGACAAGTCGGCCTAGGAAAGGTTGGAGGGAGGGGGTAAAGGAGGTTTTGTGTGCGAGGGGCTTGGACTTCCAGCAGGCATGCGTGAGCGTGTTTAATAGGAGTGAATGGAGAAATGGTTTTTAATACTTGACGTGCTGTTGGAGTGTGAGCAAAGTAACATTTATGAAGGGGTTCAGGGAAACCGGCAGGCCGGACTTGAGTCCTGGAGATGGGAAGTGCAGTGCCTGCACTCTGAAGGAGGGGTGTTAATGTTGCAGTTTAAAAACTGTAGTGTAAAGCACCCTTCTGGCAAGACAGTGATGGAGTGAATGATGGTGAAAGTTTTTCTTTTTCGGGCCACCCTGCCTTGGTGGGAATCGGCCAGTGTGATAATAAAAATAATAAGTATATAAATCTTGGTTGACAAGTCAGATATTTGGGAGTGGATGTATTGGCGGATGGGTACAAGAAAAACAAGGTAAACCAAAGAACTGATGAAGGGAAAAAGGTGGGTGGTGCACCGAGGTATCTCTGGAGACAAAAGAGGAGGCAAAGAGGAGAATGTATGAGAGCATAGTGGTACCAATGCTCTCATATGGGTGTGAGGCATGGGTAGTGAATGTTGCAGCAAGGAGTAGGCTGGAAGCAGTGGAAATGTCATGTCTGAAGGCAACGTGTGGCGTAAATATTTTGCAGAGAATTCATAGTTTGGAAATTAGTAGATGAGGAGTTACTAAAATTACTATTCAGATGGCTGAGGAGAGGTTGTTGAGGTGGTTTGGTCATTTAGAGACAATGGAGCAAAATAGGATGACAGTGTATAAATCTGTAGTAGAGGGAAGGTGGGGTAGGGGATGTCCTAGAAAAGGCTGGAGGGAGGTTGTAAAGGAGGTTGTGTGTGCACAAGGGGCTTGGATATAGCAAGCATGTGTGACCATGTTAGTTAGAAGTTAGCCAAACTTTCGTTTTGTTTTTTGGGCCACCCTGCCTCGGTGGGATACGGCCGGTGCGTTGAAAGAAAAAGATATATATATTAAAGGTAGTAGGTGGGTAGACAGCAACCACCCAAGGAGGTACTACCGTCCTGCCAAGCAAGTGTAAAACGAAAGCCTGTAATCGTTTTACATGATGGTAGGATTGCTGGTGTCCTTTTTTCCGTTTCATAAACATGCAAGATTTCAGGTACGTCTTGCTACTTCTACTTACACTTAGGTCACACTGCACATACATGTACAAGCATATATATACACACCTCTCTGGGTTTTCTTCTTTTTTCTTCCTAGTTCTTGTTTTTTTTATTTCGTCTTATCTCCATGGGGAAGTGGAACAGAATTCTTCCTCCGTAAGCCATGCGTGTTGTGACTAAAATGCCGGGAGCAAGGGGCTAGTAACCTCTTTTCCTGTATATATTACTAAATGTAAAAGAAGAAACTTTCATTTTTCCTTTTGGGCCACCCCGCCTCGGTGGGATACGGCTGGTGTGTTGAGAGAGAGAGATATATATATATTAAAGGTAGTAGGTTGGTAGACAGCAACCACCCAGGGAGGTACTACCATCCTGCCAAGTGAGTGTAAAACGAAAGCCTGTAATTGTTTTACATGATGGTAGGATTACTGGTGTCTTTTTTTTTTTGCTTCATAAACATGCAAGATTTCAGGTACGTCTTGCTACTTCAACTTACACTTGGGTCACACTGCAAAAATTTACAACCAAATATACACCCCCCTAGGTTTTCTTCTTTTTTTTTTTCCCAGTTCTTGTTTTTGCTATTTCCTCTTTTTTCCCACGGGGAAGTGGAACAGAATTCTTCCTCCTAACCTTTGGTTTTGAAGAGGCACTAAAATGTTAGGGGGAAAGGGACTAGAAACCCCTTTCTCCTGTATTTTATTAAATTTAAAAAGGAGAAACTTCTTTTTTCCCCTTTTGGGCCACCCCGCCTGGGTGGGATAACCCTTTTTTTTTAAAAGAATAAATAAATAATTAAAAATAAAAAAAAAATAAATTTAAAAAAATTTAAATTATATAAAAAAAAAAAATAAAAAAAAAAAAAAAAAATAAAAAATAAAAAAAAAAAAATAAAAAAAAATAAAAAAAAAAATAAAATAAATAAAATAAATAAGATTATATTATATATATATTATATATTATATATATAAAAATAATATTATATACATACAACACACCAACACACACACAACAACACACACACACA